TCCTACAAAAGCCCCTAGATGTTTAATGAGGTATTGTGTATTGGGTACATCTTTCACTGAGTCTGTTTTTTCTATTTGTTTGTTTTAATTTTAATTGGGTGCTATTTACATCACTGCAACTATGCTGTTTGTTTTGGCATCCTATAGATAAGCATGTTTGTACTGTCCAAGAAATGCTGGGAATATCTGTGAGAAGTCATCCAGAGCTGATATTTAACCTAGTGCCTGAGCAGATCATGTCCTGACATTGTATGCGCTCACTTTGGTAACAATGCATTAGAGTACCAAAAATAAGAAAGTCTGAGCTGTGCTTTTGTTTTAAAACTAGGATATCATGCCAGGTGTTAGGAAAGCAGTCAAAATCCCCCGTTGTCAACAAAAATGCTATTGCCAGCCTCAGTGAAGTTTTGATTAGGCCTTGCACTGAAGGCAGGTTTGGCTCTTCCACCAGGAGCACAAGACTGGTAGCCCTCTCCTTAAATCCAGAGTCATCTGTTGGAGAGGTTTCTAATCCCAAGGGTTAAGGAGATCTTGTGCAGCAGCAATTTCTCAGACTGCAGGAGCAAATCCCAGAAGCTCCTGAGAGCAAGTCTGAGGACCCAGCAAGGAAAACTTTGGAAGTTCTATTCTTATAATGCTTCTTTTGAAAAAGTGTGGATATCCTTAGATATCCTTAAATATCTTTTCAGTTTGCTCTGGCCTGGGAATCTCTTTCTACTGCTCCTAGTCTCCTTATTTTGGAGTGCCCGTGTTTCACTACTTAGAAGATTCCAGGTGTGCAAGTAATTGTGGGTAAAGAAGCCTTCAGCAGGTGGAACAACATGACACATGTCCTCACTCCCTGGCTCTCTTGAGGACAGACACGTGGCCAGCTAGGCTGTCTTGCTGCTCACTGAATGGTTCGACATGGTGGGGTGATGAGCAGTAACAGACACTCTCTAGAGTCATTGGCAAGAAGTGAGACTAAAGATATCGGGTGACTTCCCACAGGAAGGGCCTACAATGGTGTTTATCTGACGTGCACGGTTGGGAGATTACATCACTGAACACATACTGCACCCCCACAATGACACCTGCTATATCCAAAATGGTCCCCACTTCGCGTCTGCGTTTCTGATGAGGATGCATTGTTCTGGCTGGGTTAATTTGAACTGATTTAGGGAAGCATTCTGAGTGTTGCTGAGCAGAGATAGCACCACACACGGATATAAGAGCATTGTTGAGACAAGCTCTATATGGGATGTTCTGCCAAATGGTTCCCTTCCCTTCCTCTTCTCATTTCCTTGTTCTCCTTCAGTCACTGGAGAATGCTAATCCCTTTCTTTATTTTTTTAGGTGTAAACAGGTGACTTTCCAGACCTGCTACAAATTACATTTGGCTAGAAGACTTTTCTGGAAAGATGCAGCAACTGCAGATGGAAATTTCTTTCCTGAATGATGGCAACTTGATGGCATTTACATTGGTTCCAGTGGACCTGAGGATTTTAATATTGCTAAGTTTGTATGGACAGTCAGAATACAGAGAGCCCTGAACTGACAGCTCTAAACAAAAGGGAAAACACTACAACTATTTTAATACTTCCCTCTTACTGATTTTTTTTCAATATCTGTTTTTGAACATCTTTAGGAACAACAAATTTGCAATGCCTTGCTCATCCAAACCAGCAAGCTTCTGACATTTTGCTCACAGCACACAAAAGAGCACGCATACAACTATATCTGAATGGAGAAAGTATGGAGACACCTACAGAGAGCAAAGTCATTGCTGGTTCCAGAAATATCTCAGAATTAAATACGTAGAATTAAGATCTAAGCAGTAGGAACATCAGCCAGGATTTCCTCGCCTTGCGGGTACATTGGCTAAAATTCCTTTTTCTCCACCCTTTCCTTCCAGGAATGTCTCTTTCTACCTGTCCAAACCACTGGTTAGCCATTGGACAGTCTATCCCAGCCAGCCCATTCCAGAGACAGTTGGCAGGGTGAGCAGGGATCACCTTTTCTGACGCTGGGCATTGCAGAGCAAGGTGGGAGAGTAATGGGGCCAGGGACGGCTCTGAAGGCTCACAGGGGAGACCTCGATTGTTGTACATGCAACAAAAACTATTCTCTGCTTTACCTAATAACATGTTTATTGTACTGAGGCTGCTGTGACATTAAAAGGGTAGTAATACCACGGTGGTTTTAGATGTGATCACAGGCCTTGTCTTGCACAACTGTAGGAGTCCTTCTAGTCCCACAACACAGACACTGACACGGGGAAAAGAGCAGTGTCCTTAGAAAACCCATTTCCATGCATTCTACTTTGCAGATTTGGTTCTTCCCTCTTGCACTGATTCCCTCAGGGTACTCTCTACTTCCCTCTTCCCTTCATGTCTCTCCCTCCATCCGTTTTCCATGGCATATCTTCCCTCTCCTTTCACGGGGAATTAAGTTCTGCTCTTGTCAAAGAGCAGTCATCTTTCACCAAGTGCTGGAAGCAGAGTTTCCCAAGTCAACTTGGAGCCCAATATGATCTTAAATGTGCATGTCACTACAATTCTCCTTAATTCCAGCAAACCCCTTCTGTTGCTTTGGTAGAGCCTTGCTGTGCATGACAGAGCAAACTGTTCTGGTGACAACCAAGTTTGAGCTCAGTTGCACTCAAAACACATGGGTGAAAGTGATTTTTTAATTATTTCCTTATGTAGTAGTGGTGGTTACGGACTGGTGTTTGGCCCCTGTACCCACAGGGTCAGAACACCTGTATTTTGGCAAAACAAGAAGCGGAAGCATAATTCCAGCATTCCTCAAAAAAAAAAAAAAAAAAAAAAAAAAAAAAAAAAAAAAAAAAAAAAAAAAAAAAAAAAGAGAGAGAGGAAATTAGCATTTCAAAATAAGGACATTTCTTAAAAGGTCCTGAAACTTGAAAACCACAACCTGCAAGTGACAAGCTACTTCTCTTGTGATGTGGGATACTTGCTTTCACATAGTGATTCCTTGATGTCTTAACAGATGGTTTTTTGCATTTCCCAAAACAAAATGGGGCCAGAGGACTCACAGAAATCCCACATTTTCTTTTTTTTTTTTTTTAAAAGACTCTCATCCCATCTTTTCAGCCCCAGAATCCAAGGATAGGCTCTGGCCTTCACATAAAAGGTATACAGCAGATAGCAGATTGTTTAAGCAAAACGAAAGTAGTGACTTCAGCATCAGTTTGAGAATTTTATTAAAACCATAGGTTTCCATTCTATACAAAACTGAGGAGCTTTCTTAAAATAAAAAACGTAGTAACCACATAGGAAATAATGCAGCGTAAGTGGCTGGTAGATAAAAATCTCTGAAAGCTATATACAGGATTAATACTACACAACTGTATTAAGGTAGAGACTGTCAGCAACTTTAGCAATATATACAAACTACCTTTACACTCATAAATATCTTATTTACAGCTAATAAATAACATCCAGAGCTAAATCATGTTTCCTCATGAAAGAACCTTCACTGGTTTTTATCCAAGACCTAAACGTGTTTGTATTTAATCCTGTATTAAGAGCACAGCTATTCAGATACTTTGTTTTCAATGACTTTAACTCTTAAAAGACAACTGCAACAACATGTGGTATCTATAGGGAACAAATCATTATATTTATTTTTAGAGGTCTCAAATGCAGTGGCTCAATACTCAACCCCACCCTCAGTGACTCATCACATTTCTGTTGTAGATTAAGGGTTAGGAAATCAAATGTGAGCGATTTCAGAGCTATTAATATTGCAACATATTGCACTCTTTAAGACTTTTATCCCCAAATATACTAGCAGCTACAGTTGGAAAAAAGTAACAAACTTTGCACATGAACACATACATCTTTGTTTTGCCTTCAAGATGGGATGATGTTGGAAAAATCACCGTCTCCATGATGTCTTCCACACGCAGGAAAGGACTACAACACTCAGTATCAACAGCTCACATTACATTTCTTCAAGTGTCTACCTTCAAGCCCTTCCACCTCCCCAGGATTTTATCTTCTAGAAAGCTAGAAGAGGGCTAATGCACCTTCCAGGGCACCGGAAAAACTACATGTTACTTAAAAATGGGGAAGTGGAATGCCTTCAATATACCTGTTTTTGTCAGCTGGCAGCCTGTCTAATTCCTGTGCTTTTTCAGAGCACCCATTTTTGTGCAGCACACAATCAGGCTCCCTTTGACTGCCACAGCTCCTGCTCCTTGCAAGATTCCATCTCATGTCAGAAAGCTAAGCAGCTCCTTGTACAACATCAGAGCCAAGAAACAAACTGGCAGTCCCAATTCCAGTACAGGGAAGTGTGAGCATGTTTTGTCACGTGCCCAGTGGATTCACTTGCACTGAAAACTGCACACACCAGTGACTCAGCTGCATGAGTGACATGGGGTGTCAAAGAGCAGAGAAACTGTCCCAGTTTTGGCATACAGAATGCAAGCAAGTGGGGTGGGTGGAGGGGGTGGGGGAAATATATCTGTTTCCTGCATTTTCTGGTAGCTCATTTCCTCTGCAGTTCCTTGTTCACAGTGCTGGAGGCTAAATGGGTTTCATTTTCAACAAGTGAAAGCACAGACAAAATGTTCAATGTGCATAGGACACTGGTGTATTGCTGCCTTCTCCTAGAACTGTTATTTATTCCAGGGTAAGCTGCATAGAAGTAAAAAGCTTAACACATCATACCTATTGCTAAGCTGCACTGGCATCTACCCCCAGTAAAAATACATTCATGACCACAAACTAAAAAATTCATCCCCATATTAAGTCAGGCCCTCACACCTTCTAGTAACACACAGAGTAAAGGGTTTGTTTTTTTTTTTCCACATAAGAAACCTACTTATTTGCTAAAAACACATTTGAAAACAACGAATTCTCACCACTGAACTGCCTGAAAATTCAGTTAGCCAAAGCAGAAAAAATTCTGTCCAGTTTCAAAAGACTCCTGAAAGGAAAAAAAAAAAAACAAAAACAAAAACAACAAAACAAAACACAAAAAAACCCTGAAAACAAAACAAAAAAATTAAACCAACCACCACAGGTACAGGGCTTTGTTTTTTTTCAATAAATACTAGAAAATTGCTACAGAGGATCTGATGTCAAGAAACCCTGTCACAAGGCACCATGATTAAGCAGAATTACTTATTTCTTTTCAGCACTTCAAGACTTTGGCAAGTTGTTTTGCAGGTTTGTTTTTGTTTCATACTATTTGGATAATGTATCTTTATGGTTAGTAACTTTGTATGCTGAGACTGTCTTACAAGAAGTCTCTTAAGATAGCTAGGAATAGCAGGCAAAAAGCCAGCAGCGGATAAATATTTCTATATATTTGGTACTGAACATCCAGTCCACAGGGATGAACAGACTCTCCTCCTCCCCAGCACGGAAAAATCTTTATTCTTGTCACTTAGGCAGATTCTTCAGCAGAATTTTCTTTAGAGGCTTTCTTGGCACTGTGGGGAAAAAAATATAAAGGTGATGAGGAAGATGTAAGATACCTGTCCCTTTTCGTCTTATTTTTGAGAATAAAGATTAAAAAAAAAAAAAAAAGCTACTCATCAGGAAAATAATTATGTGCTTGGGCTTCTCATGGCCTCTGCTCGATTTTGCACATCAGACACACAGAGGTCTCAAGGCCTCCCGAGGTCGTTGCCCTGGAGTGAAGGCCAGCACATGTGCATTTTTACGCAGAGCTGGATCTCAGTCTAGAAGTGTCCCCATGAGACCTCTCACACACAGCAGTAGAACTAAAATAAATACAACCGCTACTCAAACTTTGGTGGATAAAGTCCAAAGAAAACTGGCCCCACATTTGAAAGTTTACTCTGGGTCAGAAAAACTGTTGATAAAAATATTAAAGTGCACCGAGGGCTATTAAACACGGACTGAATCTCTGATCCAAATCAGAGATGTGAATCTCAGGAAGTCACTCACCTGACAGCTGCCAGAAGAAGGCAGTGTGCCAAGAAGAGCCTGCTCCACTCCTGTACCAGCCTCCAAACCTATTGCTGGCCAGTGAGGAGGAAGAGCTCTGAACTGACTCAGTATGGGCATTTCAATGCTCTTCAGTTAAGGGTAAGTGTAGGGCATCTGTAGATAGAGGCATGTTTTGCTCTTTGTGCTAGTGCCTCGTGGGTAAACCCTCTCTAACAATCACTCATACTTGGCCACTGTGTGAATCTGAGAAGCAGTGTACTTTCTCTTCAGACAGTACTTTTCAACAACTACACAAGGAGATGGTTTGCAGAGAAGCAAATTAAGACTTTTTAAGTTGCTAAGGCTGCCATAAGCAAACCTCAGGTTAGTCTGAGCCATGATGCTTCCGAAGCCTTGAGAAGACTAGTGCACAAGTTCACTTATGGGGAAGTTTTATCACCGCTCATGTTCCCAACAATCCAAAAATAATAGTGGATCATTCATACCCTCCTCTTTTCCTGTTGACGGGCTGCTCCGAGCACTTCACGAATATTGCTGCCTCTTCTCCCTTACTGAGACGTGAGGTGCCATCTCGAGAACAGAACACCACTCTGGAATAAATATTGGAGCGGAAAAACAACAAAAAAAAAAAAATCACATGGCTGAGCCAGACATGCCTTTTTAACCTTAGAAACAGGACTGGTGCTTGGAAGCAGTCTTTATACTTTGTCATGTGGGGCACTACTACTTTACAAGTGCGTGAAAAAGTTACTTTTAAAAGAGAATTCCGTGACAAAAGAAACACTGCGCAAGAAAAATTGGTAAACACTTTATATGTAGACATCAAACTGTAACCATAACTTTCACTATGATCTTTTGCATGACATCTTCTTGAAGCTAAAAGAGCAGAAGGTCTATTCTCTTAAATCTTATTTCGATCAGTCCTTATGCAAGTTTTTTGTCAGGTGAATGAACTTGGAAGAAAGCCTTATTCCCTCAAATGTTTGCAAACGAAGTAGGTTGTCAATTCCAGCAAACCTGAGCAGTTGCTTTTCTATTTATCAGTACCTTCTCCACCCCTATATTTGTTCAGCTCTGATAACTGTTCTTTGATCAAGTGACTGCCTTGTTTATTCAAAGAAAGAACTTATTATTTACTATACTGCACATAGGACACACATACTCTGTTCTGGGTCCATGTTCTGCAAACAGATCTCATGCCTAGTGAATGAGTATTTCAAAAGATTCATGTCAAAGCAGTTCTGTTCAAACTTTGATGTTTTAACATTCATGCATTAGCAATGTCCTGCAACAGTCATGTTTTTTCAGTTTTCTTCCACCATTCAGGCATTCAACTCCTAAGAAAATCCAGCTTAACAAAGCAATAATTTCTTGTGCAAACACACTTTTGGAAGGGTTTCTAAAAATCTCCTTTCTAAGCATGCTCTCTACAAGAAAACCTATGCAAATACCCAGCACGAAAATGGAGGAGGAAACTGCAAACAACCACTGATGCTGGTTCATGGAGATACTCTCCTGCATATTACAGCTAACCTGAGACAGATGAGACAGTGACACGCAAATTAATTATGTGTGAGTAAGACTACAAATTGCACATCCCAGTGGAAGCAAACAACTGAACCTGGCTGACGTAAGTGGTGGTTTGATGCTACCAGAGCCCTGATTATCAGTGCTGCACCCACCTGTGATTGCTTAAAATGTTTGTCCCACCCTGTGAGATACCAGAAATCAGGAAACACTGTCAAAGCTTATAACAATCAAAACAAGTTACTTTTTCTGAGTTTCTCCTGACTTCACTCTGACTCTCTGGATGTCAAATGTAAAAGGAGTCCACCAGTCAGTCCAGCTGAACAAAGTGTCTTTCTCCCACTGCAGCTTCAGCATAAGCAGGTCCCCAATGTCCACTTCTGTGTAAATCAGGAAGGAGAAGGTCTTGTTTGAGGAGACTTCAGGCCTGTGGGGAGGAAAATAAAGGAATGAAAAGCACACTCTGAAAGTGTTGGACAGATAAAGAAAATTAAGGAGAAAAAGAACCACAACTTTTTGTACTCTAGAGAAGAAGGAAGCAATCTTCTCCATAGTTCTGATGGGTGGAATAAGGACAAAACACCTTAAAGCTTTTGCAGAGGCAAAAGGAAAAAGCTTTCTGCAGCAAGGCTGGTAAAATCGTGGGACAGTCTGCCAGGCAAGGGGTGTCCTCTCCTGTATTGGTGACTCTCAGAGGAGCCAGACAAGCACCACCAGTTTAGATTCCTCAGAGCAGAAAACAGACTTTGGTGCTTTCCAGCTCCATTCCCTGCCAGCCCACGTGCAGGGATGCACTCATGTATTTCTGCTTGTTTGCAGAGCTGTGAAAGCAAATCCCATGTCTCCCTCAGCTTTTGCACCGAGGCCTTCAGACCCATCAGACAATTAACTCCAGGTTGCAGGTGACTTTTAAGAAGGTTTAACACAGTTGGAACACAGCATAAAGATATTGGAAATAAGAAAGCACCAGAGAAACTCTTATCAGGCTGAGTCACAGGTCAGACTTCACATTTCCATATTTCAGATGTCTTATCAAGAAGAGCTCCTGTAGAGCTCAGTTCATTAGCTTCAAAAGTGGATGCATCTCCTTGATCAAAGACACGAGCAGATTCTGGGACCCTGTAAGATTTCTGTAGCTGGAGCTAGAAAAGACTTTCATCTGGGGCTTTAACAAGTTTAGGTAAACTGAACACTACATTTTAATTGTTTCTGTAGCTACTCACAGTGTGAAAGAAATTTTCTCACTCTCATCTAGAGTGCCATAGAGAGAGATCAGGAATGGCTGATTTGTCTTAGTCGTATTAGTCTTTCCAAAGAAATGGATCTTGACTTGGTAATGAAAGACTGGAAGAATGCAAAAGAAAATGCCATTAGGAAAACTCAACCTCCAAAGAGACTGCTGGCAACAAAACCACCCAACCCCACACCTGAAAATGCTAGGCTTCAATATGCCAACTTCACTAAAATGAGGAGCTTAGTTCCCTGTAGGTATCCAGGGAACTATTTTTGAGAGGAGGTAAATATTAGTATGCAAGGCAATTACTATTAAGAAAAACCTTTGCAGTTCTTGCAACTACACTCTGCATTCAAGCTGCCACTCTAACAACCCCAGATTCTGCAGTATCACCCTTAAACCTGTTACTGAATGCTTAAGAATTGCTATCCTTGACTTGAAATGACTTGTACCCTCCTTATACCTTGGTAAAAAAAAAAAAAAAAATCAACCCAGTGACACTGCAGATTAAGTACCAAACACCAACAGAACACTGCAGGAATGTGCCCTCTGATTGCTGGTCCATCACACAATGCACACAGCAAACATACCATGGGGTATAGGCAAAGCTAGGGAGGAAAAATAAAGTAGTAAAATCCAACTCAGAAGCCACTTCCCTAGCTGAAAGCCTTCCTGTTCTCTCTGGCAGTGTCCTTCTCAGACCTGTCACTGTGGCAACTGGAAACAAGAAGTGCTGTGATATTTTAATGAGGACTAGTAGTCCTCTAGCAAGTGCACTACAAAAGATACAAGTCAGACGGTTGCACATCTTTAAATAAGTTTCTTATCAGATTAGGCTCTGCTGATTATTTCCTCAGCAATAGTAAAAACTCCTTTGGTTGAAAAATACTGAAAAATTTGGAAGACTCAGTTGTTCCAAGTTGATTGGGCCCCAGAGCATGATTTCTTAACTTTGCTACCTAGAAACTTTCTTTTTGTACTCTATCCCCACCCCCACACCTTGAGTAGGATGGCACTGTTTCCTCTGAGACTGTAGTTTAGCTTGCATTCAATGGCAAGCAAGAAGAAAGCTTCACCCCTGCTCATCACAGGCACCAAAGCAGGAACAGCAACGTCATCATCTGCAGCACATGCCCACCATGACACACAGATGAGCACAAGCACCAGTTTTGCTCACCATTAAGCAGGCAGGACCTACCTTTATAGGGCATCTGAGCACGGGTCTTCAAGTACATTTTGGTGTTTCTCTTTGTTCTCACTCTGTTGACCTTGTAACCCAAATTGTTGCAGCGGTTCTTGCGGCAGCTCAGGCAGAGACCCTTCTCAAAGGCCTCCTTTGTGTTGCAGCGATAGGCCATGCTGGGTTTTTCTTCATAGAGAAGGGAGTCAATGAAGAGGTGAATGGATCGTTCATGGGAGCATTTCACCAGCTGGTCCATATCTTGAAAGAATGAAAATGTATAATGTACATATAACACACACATATAAAGATATGAATCCCTAGGCAATGCTGTCAACAGGTATGATCCACTATGCCAGAGCTGGGCTTTACAGGATGACTTTTAAAAAGCACTTAAAAAAACCCTATTCCTGCACCTCCCAGAGATCTTCGCTTGCAACAAACCTATGAAGCTACTGAAGATCTCCCTTTAAATGTTACAGCGTTTGTTTCAGAGCAACCTCACCTCCAAAGCCTTTTTCAGCAATCAGACGGAGTGCTTCTCCAAAGTTGCAACCTGGCTGGAAACCCCCACCATTGGGATAAATATCAATGTGTCCAACAGGCTTCTGGATCCCAATACTGCGGTCTGGAGAGCCTCGAGTGTAGGTGTGTAGGACATCCACAAAATCAGCATCATCCGGGGAGAGGCGGGTAGGGGCATCAGCATACTCAAAGGTAGGACCAGCTGGATCCAGCCCTTTATGGAACAAGCCACAAAGAAAGACTGTCTGTCAAAGACTGGCAACAAATGCCAAGCTCAGCTACCACACTGGGCCAGAATATCGCATATGACGTTGGTTTTCCTGCAGACATTACAGTGGGATTACTTAAGTAGCATTCATGTATACAGGAGAATCAAATACACACACAACCTTGAAATGCTGTCGCTGTTTAAAAAAAATAAAAGTGCATGCAGACATATGTAAGGAAGCTCAGATAACTTCCTCAGAGCTGTAGCATTTCCAGCGGATGGAAAAAACAAACTCATAAGTGTGTTCTCAATGTCTTCCTCTTGTCAAGAATTGTACAACTTGTAGCTGAAGCATCTGAAGTATGGAAAAATGTCTTGCCAGTAACTCCCTGGTAGGGGAAACAACTGGGAAACAAATGAGAGCTTCACTCATTGTCTACATGCCTCAGGGGAAGGGGATTATTTTGGTAAAATGTCAAACTGCAGCAACACTGATATCAAAAACACCCAGAACTATTCTACCAGTGAACAAGTACTATTTTTTGAATTCAGACAACCACTTGAGAGATGGCTACAAACAGAGCTGAAGGGATGTGAAGGGGACAGGCACCTGGGTTGTTCAACCATGGTTAGCTTCACCCAGTCTGAGCTGCCTCCCCACTGCTGTGAGGACTTCAGGGACCACATAATATTGCTCCCTTTGCTCAAAGGTGACGCTGTTTTCCCAGGGAAAGGGCTCATCCTGGGCACCAAGAGCAACTATGGAAGCATAACAGAGGGCTACTGGTATTCCAGTGATTTGATTTCCAGTCTCAGTGAAAGCAACAAGCCTGCAGCTGAGAGAAAGGAAGGATAGAGGGACTAGTGCTTTGGCCTGATTTCAATCTGCCACCTTCTCAGGACTCAACCTTTCCAGATGCAACTGCTTCCTAGCCCACCTCTCAGCCTGCCTGTGGATCAGCCAGGCTCACCTGAAAGGGTGAAGGATGCCACGGAGCTAGATTCCCTTTCGAATGCTGCTCTCAAGTTCTCTCAGCAACAAAGACACCACAGATGAGCAATTTTCTTAGCCTCATTTGCTGATGCTGGCATTTCCTTTGTCACTGAAATCAGTCCTCCAGGTGCTAGGCTGCAAACCAGACCCAGGGTGGCCATGCACTCCACCTTGTCTAGTACACTTCTCAGTCTCCAAAAATCACCTTAAAACAGGCATCTAAGCACACATAGCAACAGGGCAAGAATATCTATGCTTTGTTCTCCTTCCCAGAACTCTCACAGTATTATTTTCAGCCTAGAATATTTTTTGAGCCTGTTATGACTCATTTTTTTAATAACCCACAGTGGACCTCTTCTGATTATCTGTCCAGTCTCCCTGTGAGCCTGTATAAACTTCTTGCACCTGCAGCACTCCACGACATGGAGTTCTGCAGGTCCTATATCCACTGCAGCAGGACTTAAACCCCGTTCTTTCTGAATGGCTCCCATCAGCTGCAAGGAATGACTGCCTGGATGAAGACAACCAGCTGAAGTTCTCATGCTGCAAGAGATACTGTGACCTCTCCAAGCCGTGGATTTGGCCAGTCCCAACCACATTCCCGCCAGCTAGTCTCTTATCGTGGCCTACTCGCTCATTTCTTGTGAAGAAGCAAATCAAGGCTTCTCACTCACCACCTTTGTTGTTCTTTTCTGAACCTTTTTCAGTTCTACTACAGAAACACTAGCCCTGCAGTTTCAATAAAGCATGAACACAGAATCAAAGTGCTGTCAGCAAGCAACAATTAATCCGGCGATTTTTCAGAGAAATGTGTTTCAGCATGGAAGAGATAGGACTCTCCACTCTACAGTCACAGGTTTTCTTACCAGTAATTCTGTTCACCTTCTTCTTGGTCAAGCTCCCAGCAACCCCAGCAGCGTGAGCACCTAGACTGTACCCCAGCAAGTGGACTTTGTTGAGAGGATAATTGAATTGCTCCTGTTCAAGAGAACACTTTGTTTAAAGTTTGAAGCCAAATGTGAAAATGCCAGAAGACACAGAAGAAAATGTTTTGTTAATACTGAGATTTCTCTTTGAGTCATGAATAACAGAAGAAATACTATACAGTAATCATAATTTTATCATAATTTTGTGCCATACTAGATCACTTGAGCTAAGCAACTTAGGCCAAAAATCTAACCAGAGAGGATTGCAGAATGAAGGACAGAACACAAGACTGTGTATGATATGAAAGGTTTTCAGCCACTCCCTTTCCACCAGTTTCTGGATCTCTTAAGTATTTCCCAAAGGAAGGGCAGATTTCTGTTTCCCAAGGGCTGGCTGCTGTAAAGTATATAGGAATCTGTCCTTCATAGCTACTTCTCACAAGGCTCCAGAGACCACAAGGTGAAGTTTCTGGAATGCACTGTAAAAGGCCTCTTTGAGTAAGAGGTAACCAGTAAATTAAAGCTGGAATTTTACCAGTCCAGCAAAAATACTGTCTTCAACAGCTTAACTCCATCTACCCAACAGAAGATGATTAACACAGCTGTATAAGTGCTGCTTTGTCTCCTAGGATACCATGCACAACGTGAGTGAGGTGTATCTACATGTCTTACCTCCATCCAGTCAATAAATGTAGCAACATCCTTTCCCACCAGCTTGGTGTATGCAGCAGACACTGGGTAGTGCTGCTGAGCTCGAACTAGCCAGTCCACCACAATGACATTTGAATCAGGTTCCCTCTTGTACAGAGCAGCCACAAGCTTTGGTACCCAACTTTCATACATCCCTGTCACCTGTCGGTTGTGGCGTTTTTTAATTTAAAAAAAAAAAAAAAAGAGAGAGAGAGAGAGAGAGAGAGACAGATTAATATTATCTGTGAAATATTGACACCTCAGCACAGTTTGTCAGCAATGTGGTTAAAAGGGAGATTCCTCCCACTTTGTCTTACCGTCCACCCGTGGATCACCACAAAGGTTTTGCTGGTGTGATTGAAGTTGCACTGTGCCAGGCTGTTCAGCTGCCCAGGCACCAGGTAGCAGACATCCTCATCGGGCTCTGCAGGCGTCCGTAAGGAAAACTTGCTCTCGATTCCCTCGAAATTGTTTTCAGCTTCTGCTATGCAAGACCACAGAAAACACAGCAGTGTTTTAGGAGTAGTAGGACAAACAGTTCAGAAGTCACAGGTACAGTGTTGGAGAGGTATCTGGAGCAGTCAGTGGGACAGGAGGTTTTCACTTCCTACAGCACTCAATGGCCACACAATACCCATGCAAAGAGAAAATCAAAGGGTGAAAATTGCTGTCCTTCTAAGGTCCTGCTAAAACAGTGAGGATCTGGCAAGCTGCCAGAGGTATGAATCCTTTTTAGAAGGCAGTATTTTCCCCACTTCATTAAGCAGGAAACCTGTTAATTACCACAAGAGTGCAGAAAACCACACAGGAGAGTCACAGACTGTCATGCAGGAAAGCAGCAAATTCCTACCATACTATTAAATATTTTGGTGGTGCATCTTCCACATCACCTCATGAACAATCGCTGCCTAACAAGGCCCTTTATAGCACCCAGTAGTTTCAGTGTATGAAAAACAAGAGCAAGGTCATCCCTGTTTTACAAAATGCTAGTTTTAACTTTTTACAAACAAACAGCAGGTAGGAAGATCAGACACCCATCAGGGAAACTGAATTAGCAAACCAGAAGCCTGTACTTTGAAGGCAGTACATTTTCAGATCATCTGATAATCTACAGAAAAATAAGCTGCAAGAAAATACCTTCCTCTACCTAAAGCTATGTTGAATCCCAGGGTGGGGAGGGAGGTGAAGATCATCACAAAGTATGTGTGGCCTGCAAAGATCACTCCCGACAGCTCTCAGCTTCAAAATGTAAGTATTCCTTTTGCTCCTGCCACTGCATAGAAGTGACTTTAGGCTTCATGCTCACTATGTCCTTTGTCTGGGAAGAAACTTAAATGTCTCCTCTTTTCATGTCTGATTCAATACTTAAGTACCTCTATATCCAACAGACCCTCTAATTAACTGTGGGCTTTTTGAAACCCAAGGCCCAGTTTGGCAACCTGAGCTTAGAAAATATTGACTGCCTGTTTTTCAAGTGCAGCTGAACTCAGGCCAACTTTGTCCAGCTCAGAGTTGTGTTTCCTGGCATTGTGACCACCAAGATTTCACAAACTCCTAAAGACACATTAATGAATGGCTCCAAGCCACCAAAAGAAATGCAAAAGGGCAAATAAGGACCTCATGCCAGGCATGAAAAACAGATTTCCACTCTCCTCCTTTTTCGCATTGCAGGTACGGTTTTCTATGATAATTGGAAGATTTACATTTATCCATAAAGTTCTGCTGCATCACTCAGCTGATGAACAGCTAATAATTCATTTTTTTCTGAAACAGGTTCTCATCTTCTCATTTGAGCTACCAGCCATCAGGGCAGAACTTATGCCTGAACTCACCCAACCCTCAGGCAGGTCTATAAAGTCTGGGAGGTTCTTGCTGTGCTTGGAGGGTCACGGAAATCAGGGTCTAAAGCAAGAGGTCTAAAACCAGCACACAGCCTTCCAACAAATGCTTATGTACAAGCCCCCAGAGAAACTGGTCACCTGTAATCAATGGCCTAACGTGTCCTGAGTTCATCAGTATTCCTCACTCCTCAAAAGCAAAGCACATGCAGGGAAATAAGAACTGTTCAATGCACAGAGGCAGTGCTCAGTTTTAGGCTGGCCAGCTAATCCAGAATAATCCAGTGAGGATCTCCTTCCTGCCTCTTTCCCCCTAAAGAAAGGATAAAGTCTATGGAAAATACCTTTCTCCCAATCAGTAGAAGTATTCCTATAACGTTAAACACAACATTTCACCTACCTACTGAAAGCTAAATTTACCAAACTAACCAAATGTTTGCCCCTTTTCTATATTTTTGCATTTTCAAAATTTCTTTTTTTTCCCCCACCAGCTGAGTGTACAAAACACCTTTCTAAAACAAATCTTTAGACTTACATTGTTTACTTTTTAGCCAGAAAAAGGGAAGTCCCAAAGGCTGATTGGTTAAATACCAACTACAACTTTTCACTCAGCAGTGAATCAGTAAAACCTTGAAAGGAAAAAGAACAGCTTTCAACTGTAAGCCATGCAGTGCAAGGACTTTCAATTATGTATATTCCCATCTAGCACAGGAAGGTGAACAAGAATAGTCCACTTGCTCACTAGTTAATAGTGCTTCCTTCCATACTTAGATATAATTTCCCTTCTGAATTAAACTCATCTGATAATCATCCAAAATCTAAGTTACATTGATATCCTGTCTTGCAGTGTGTTTTCAATTACAAACACATGCTAGAATTCGCATCTAAGTTCAGATCACAACTCTTTAGAAAACAAGCTTGTAGGAAATTCACAATTTGAAGTGCACTTTACTCAAGGGCACACTTAGAAAAATGCATCAAACTTACAGAGATTGCATCACAGTGGCATCTACCACTGAAGATGTGCGAAGTGCTTCATAAATAATCGTGTTTCAGACTAAAAACCCTTGGCAGGGATTTAAGGACATAAAATCGCTGAGATGTAGTCACCACCAGGAAAGCAGCAGCTGCAAAGCAGCAGCCCATGAGTTAGGGAAATGGCAGGTGGCCACTCTGCTCATTTAACTATGTTGTAGGAGGAATCAGAAAGTCAGAAGAAATTACTGTTATCATCTTATGCCCACAAAAAGCGTCATGTTATCTAATGACCACATACGGTCAGTTCCCAGGAGGAAAGATACCCTTTGGATAAGGAAAGTGTGTGTGGTGGGGTTTGTTACAGACTTCTTCACGGTGTGCTGAGGAGCTATCCTTAGAATTTGCCTGAGTTTGGCTTTGCAAATTCTATATGGCTCAGAGCATAAGATGACTTGTCTATACCTTGTATTGTGGTGCACACATGCTCCAGTACCACCTCACCTCCCACCTGCTACAGATTAAATTTTAGAAATATGGTACAGAGGTTCATATAGCCTGCACACACTCACCACACAGACCAACATCTACGTGTACCATGTTTTAAACCTGAAGCAGAGAAGTTATGAAGCATATCACTTCAGAAAACAAGTGTTTCCCACTTCTGTTTTTGTTATCTCATAATGTATCTTGGGTCTATTTGAAAAAATGATTCAGAACTGAACTTTGTCATACACAGATTTTTGCCATAGACCTTTTCCTCATAGATTTAAAATGAATAGTCTTTTTGAATCAGCCAAACAGTCAAGTGTGATTCTTTACACAAAGAAATGCAGAGACAGTCAATGCTAAGAGTCACCATTGTTTAGTTAATAATATGTTTTAACTCAAGTTAATTAAAGCAGGAAAAACCCAGAAATGGGGAGTTTTCAGCATGTTTCTGAAAGGTGAATAGAAACCACGGTGGTAGTGGATCAAGGGTTGGACTTGATGATCTCAGTGGTCCTTCCAATCTGGCTGATTCTATGATCTGAATTCACATCACATTTTACATAACATAGATACAGAAAGTAGATATCAAGATATTTACATGCATCCACCCTGAGACACTGAAGTAGCTTTTCATTACAAGAATGCAAGTCCACTTCTAGACAAGGCTTTGGAGAAAAACAGACCTGGAAGTAAAAACACATAGACAAAACAAACCCATCCTTTTGTTAAAAACCACACTTTCCCAGACTTAGTTCAGAAGAGTTACAACAGCATGTGTTCTGTACTGCAAAAGCTTCCAGGCACACAGTTAAAAATACAAGCCCCTCTTGCAAAAGAAAATTTTCTGTCTACAGCTATGTGGTTACAGTTAACAAGGTGACCTACAAAGCAATTACTTAGGGAACTGGAAAAGGATTAAGTGACCAATTTCAGATGCAAGTTGGCTTTTCTAACAGCCTACAGGCTGCACTGCCAAACTTCACCATTTTACCATGCTCCACGAGTTTTTCTGATGTTTTTCTTACACCACCACTTCAACAGTCTCAGTTTTTGTATTCAAAAAAAAAAAAAAAAAAAAAAAAAAAAAAAAAAAAAAAAAAAAAAAAAAAAAAAAAAAAAAAAAAAAAAAAAAGCTGTTCTGAGCACCAAGGTATTGAGAATCTCATAGAACTCTAGAGTGTGGAAAGAAAAAGCTTAGAAACGGGGAAAAGCCAGTAGTTCTTTTTTTCCTGTTCAAGCTTTCTGACACTTTTGACTTGCAACTTGTGAAACTCCATTCAGTTAGACTTGAAGCATTCTGACACAGTAATCAAGAGAATTCAGTTTCCAGTTTACTTCACAGGAAGCCCAAGGCAACCTGGCAAACTATTTGGATTGTGAAAACTGTTTATCACTGGTCAGTTGGGTGGAGAATGAGAGTTTTGAGGAAGTAACAACATCTGGAATATTAATCAAAAGTTAAACTGCCCACTTTGGACACAGCTTGCCAGAATATAACAATGCATTTGCCAGAACGAGCACACCTAAGCTACGTTTTTAACAAGGGAATCTTTGATAAACAGCAACTTCCTAGCATTACATACTCAGAAATAGAAATACTATTAGCTAGGTGCAAAGATCCTTGAAATTGTGTTACTAGACTGTGTAAACTGCAGCCCACAGAGACGTGCACACAAATACACATGCACAGCACCAAACATCTGCATATAACATCAAACATTTACCAGCTGTAGTTTACTGGATTAACTCTACCCTCAGCTGACAGCCAGCATTAGGATCATCCATCAATCAGTCATACTGAATTCCTAAGAGTTCTGAAGGAAACTCACAGTCAGCTGTAATAAAGGGGCTGCATCACAGAAATTGTTACCGTTTAATCTGACCTACACTATAAACTGAAAGCAGACTACTGGGTGTGTTGCAATCCCAGGAAACCTACCTCACAAGTCAGGTTACTGTTTAACCTTGCTGTAAAAAAATTACAACCCCAAGTTTATTTATGTATTCCTTAGTGGCAGAACCCTGAGAGTACGTTCTGCTTCGCTTCACAGGTGGACACAAATGGAAAGAGCAACCCCTCTGAAAAGCTACTGGGCGCAAGTTCAGATGCTGAGCAAGGACCTCCCTGCTCAAGTCCTGCAGCTGGCAAACTGCTGCTCTCGCACTGTGCACATGGGTGCCCCTTTCCACGGCACTCCCTGTCAAATCCTTACTCAGCTGCAGCTGGGATGCTCGTAACTCAATCCAGCAGAGCTCTTGCCATCCATCAGTCCCTCTGGGATATCTGGAATTAGCCCAAGACAATTAAAATGCAACCACTGTCAGACTTTGCAGTAATAAGGAGGAAAGGATGCTTGAGAAAGCCCTGGCACGCAAGTACTTCTGCACAGAGGAGTACTAGTGGTCATGCTAATCTCCACAACACTTTTGATGCCTGACAGTCTCACCTCTGTGCCTTCTCAGAAACGCACTGTTTCTGGAAAGGCCACAACACAGCTGTCCTGGTAGGTCTACCCCAAACACAGCCATAGCAAAGGCTCACATCACACAACAGTGCAAATATGCTGACTCTGGATTTATGTTGGTAAAAACAGGGATCAATCAGAATGTATTCCTAGTAATGTTATCTTTTCCTGGAACACCAATATTATCTTCATCTAGAATATATTTTTCTATGTTGTTTATTAAATATTCCTGATTTCTGAAGGGCTGCATCGTGTGTTTTCCATGGTTTCAAAGCACTTTTTACTGTGGTGTGCAAGAAATAGTGTGGGACTGAAGGCGCGTGTAGCTTTAGGATGAACACACAATCTGCTTTCATATAACCTGTTCCTAAGGAGGAATAATGAATATTATTAGTATGTCTGCAGCAAGTCAGTTCCTGCAGGGATGAAAGCTTGCTCTTGGAAGGTAGTGATTTTACTGTATACAACTTGGATACTGTGATGAAAACTAGTTTTGATTGTCTCTGATGACACAAGATGGATTGAAAGCAAGAACACATTTCTTTGGCTGTGCCCTAGCACCCCATCCTCTTACTTTTGAATACTTCCCTTCAGCTTCCTTGTCACAAAGCAATAACAAAGGCATCCACAGTAGAAGAAACAGCAGTTTATACATTCCATTTTAGTATCACACAGCAGGTCTAAGAGCTACAGCCACATTTTCTTCTAAGGCCGTGGTCTTTTGAAGATAGACACTGTGTGTGGGAGATCAGTGTAAGAAAGAAGCCCGGGACAGGGCAACTGCTAACATAAGCTCGAGGAGTGGTGGTCTCCTAAAACAAGACTCTTTGCTCATAAAAGCTGCACTCGTGGTGTGATTAACCGAGAGAGCAACAGTGAACATCTAGCAGTCAACATTCCCACATGTTCCCCTCCCCGTAGCCTGGGAGGTGTCCACGCACCAGTGCAGGTGCAACAGGCAGAGTGCAAGCACAACCTCAGTGAATCTACAAGACACCACGAGAGTACACTCTCTCTGCTCACTTTCTCCCTGACGGATTCTGCTGCATTACGGGCATTAACAGCTACTCAAATAGATTATCATGATACTGATGAAACTCAGCCTTGCCTTGTCTAGGACCAAGAACCGTAGGAAATGGATGGATGAGTCCCATGCAGAACAGAGGAGAGGGCTAAGGGACCTTACCGTGATGCGCCAAACCCTTGCTGGAGCAAGGGACTCTTGGAAGCCACCTTGCTTGGGGGGAAAAGACACATCCCAAACCTTGACAGCTCGTGCCATCAGCCAGGCAGGCTGTGCCTGAGCTCCGGTCGAAGAAGAGGCTCCACATCTCTCCCAACAGGATGTAGGACCCCCCGGTATCACTCTCCAGCGCCTTCTGAGGCCACCTCACGACACCCGGGTCCCGCAGCATCCCAAACACCCCGGGAGAGCTTTACAAAAGAAAAGGTTCCCGCCATGCCGGCAGCGTTTCCTCCCCAAGCCCCCTTCCCCAAAAGCAACAGGGAGGGCCGGCAGCCCCCGTGCGCGCTCCGGACTCCGTCCCGATCCCCCGCCCCCGGACTCACCGCCCAGAGCAGGCACCCAGCGCAGGCAGAGGTAGAGGACGGCCAGGAACACCTTCCTCCCCATCCCGCCTCCTTCAGCGGCGCAAAAGTTTCGGCACACAAAAAAAGAAAAAAAAAATAAAATTAAAAGTAACTTTCTGATTTAAAAAAAAACTGATGAAAACTAAATACAAGCGTAGCGCGGCGGGGCACGGCCGGCTGTGGGACAATCCCCAAGCACCCAGCACCGCCAACCCTTCCACCACCGCTCCCCGCCCGGCCCCTTAAGTGCCCAACAATATGCAAATATGCAAATGAGGCCCCCGCGGGCATTGGGCGATCGCGGCGGGGCGGGGCCGGAGCGGGCGGGGCGCGGGTTGGGGGCCGGAGCCGATCCCGATCCCAATCCCAGGGGGGCAGCGCCGACCGCGGCACGGACCCGGCACGGACCCCTCGGCCCCGACCCCCCCTCGGCCCGACCCCCGCAGCCCTCCCACATCCGCCCGGCCAGCCCTGCCCCCACCGCCGGGATGCGGCCACTGGGTCCTGCCCGCCCGTGGGACCCTGTGCTGTGCCTCTGGCGGGGTCTCCCTTCCCACCTCCCTGCCTTTGAGCCAGTAACCAGCTGCTCGCCGCCTTTTCGCTGCCGTGCCCGCAAGGGGCCTTGCTGAAACCTTGTTTTGCCAGCACTCAAGGGGATACGAGTTTGGAGAATAACTTAATTCACTGGAGGTTGCATCTGTGCTCCTGAGAAATAGAAAATCGATTCTCTCTCTGCCCTCCTCTCGGAAGTACCGTTTGCAGTGAGACTTGAGTCGGTGACCACCGGGTGAAAGATCGGTTATGTAAGAATATTAATTTAACAAAATACCAGTTTTCATTGCACTGTGCAGTTTGTTGCCAAAGGCCCAGCTTCATAAAGAAGCTTATGACACAGGGAATGAGGACTCCCTGGGTTTTGGAACGTGAAGCAAATGGGATTCACTTCGAGGGTAACTGATCTTTCTCATACCAGGCACCTTTGGAAACTAAAGTATATCTGGTTTATATTAGAGAGGCTAATCAATAAGAGGTTGCTGAAGTGTAGCACAACTGGGTCACTTTCCAAATTTAGATTCCACTAAAAGGCCAGTAAGATCTGTAAGTGAGAATACACCTCCCTCAAAGCACAACTAGAAGTTCCTCCACCGTCAATTTATATCTATTTATACACAAAAGGCACTGGAAGAACTTAATGAGGGTACAAACTGTTCATGCTGAGACTTTCTTTTCCACTGAGACAACCAGGTGGCAGGGAGGTGGAGCTAACACAAAGGGTGGGGGGCAGTGAGAGAGAGTGGGAGTCAGAGCCAGAGGACTGGAGATGAAAAAGCTGGGAATAAGGAGATCAACCTTCCTCAACAGAGGATGGTGGTGATGTGAGACGGGAAAAACGCGGTTTGTTCTGCAGCTTGCTAAGTACCAAACATATCCTCTGACACCCGGTGTTTGAAACCCTTTTGTCAAAACAATAGCAAGAATTTTCTCACGTCTTTCTTTTTTTCCCTGCGTGGACTAAACAATGCATTTGTCTTGATCTAATTTGGTTGAAACTCGATAGTGCAATTTCCCCCTCAGAAATCAGCCTGGCTCTATCTAGGGTCAGACATCCTTCCTAGAAAATTCCATTCCCTGATGGCAACATTTGGCAAACTAAAAGAACAAACGCTTTAAGGCAAGATGCTGTAAGGGAGACTGTCAGGCCACCTTAATCACAAGTGATGCTACTAACATGAAGTCTCCTGATTTGCACAGCTACACCCATGGCTACTGCAGGGAAAAAAAGCTTACATTGCAATATAACTGTGGGAAAAGAAGCAGAGTAGTTTTAGCTGTATATAGAATCAGATTAAACAAATAGAAAGGAGCAGTGGCAATGCTTGGCTCACTAGCCCTGCATGGACTGCTAGCCCCCGCTAACATCTGCAAATCCACAGGCTGTATTTAGTCTTTCAGTTAATTCCCTATACTGATTGTGAAATCCATCAATAGCAAGGGCAGGTAGCAGATTGACAGCAGATTAACTACTCAGAATTTAATCTAATTTGTTACACTGAAATGCTTATTTGCATAAGTTTTTGTTCATGCTCATGCCACATTTTAAGACATAGAGATATGTATTTAAGAAAGAGTTATGCAAAGTCTCCACCTAAAAAAAAATAAAAAAAAATAAAAAGAAGGAAGATTAAAATCAAAACACTAAAAGAAAACTTTCAAGTGATGAAAGGCAGGGAAAGGGGGTAATTCTGGTTCCTCGGATCTTGAGCAAATTGCCCGTTTGTTGTAAATTCAGATGCAAAATAATCTGAAATAGATGAGACTCAGCACATTTTCCAGCATTTAAAATCTTTTTGTCCCTTGCACATAATCATGATCAGATGGAGAAGAAGCTTCATGGCATCAACTCAAGGTGCTTCAATGCAATCATTAACTGGACTTGAATTCCTCTTCCTCTGCAAAATACATAATCCTACAGGGGAAAGCAAAGCTCCATCTGTAAAACAGAGCCTGATTTATAGTATTTATGGACTCTAAAGTGGGTAGAAGGCAACGTGATGAGAGCTAAAATACATTATTTCTAATAAGGAGGAGGGGAAAGCCTGGAGGAATGGAGACAGGAGTTGCATAACTAGGCTGGTACTTGCACCCACAGACCACGCAGAAGGTTAAACTCAAAACAAGCCCACAAGTGCCTCCAACACAATTGGTTTATGTGATGCAGCTGTGCTAAACCCTGAGCAAATTCACTGTCCTCATACAATAGCAAGCAAGGGGAGAACCAACCCCAAAATTTCATTTCCACAGCAATTCTCCAAAGAGAGCTTGAAACACAGGGAGAAGGGGAGGAGTGGGGCGTGACACAACATGACACTGAACATCTTTGTGCTGCTTTAATTCTATTAATATGGAAGATCTGATAGCTGAGGATGAGAGGTCTTCCAACAAAAGCATCTGCTTAGAAACAAGCAAAAACAACCCTGTTCTGGTCTCCTTCTGACTAGGAAATAAAAGTAAGTAAGAAGTCATAGGGGTTTTTTTCTTTTTTTTTTTTTTTCTTTTTTTTCCCCCTGCAAATATTTGAATTTTCTCTTTCTCCCCAAAACAAAAACAGTAACAATAAACCAAAGAGCTTCCATGACCTTCTATGTGATTTCTATGCTAATAAGTTCAAAGAAACAACAATTAAAAAAAAAAAAAAGGAATTCTTTTCTCCTACTTTGAGTTTGTTCAAAGATGAAATGTTTCTTAAAACCTATTTTTCTGAAAACCAGCCATTTTTAATGAAACTTCGGTTTGGGGATAAAAAGTTACTCTTCTCTGCCTGTTTCAGTAATCATTAGTTGGGCTATAGCAATAACTTTACGTGCAGTGGAGGTCCTCTCGTCCTGTTACTGTGCTCTGAGGAAGGAGCAACACGGCACCAAACCATCCAGGGGCTTGAAGGTGACTTTAGCAAGCCTGTCGCACTAACACTTATCAACAGACCCTTTTTGTGGCACACTATTTGCCTGCTTTTCCACGGTGGCAGTGAGTGTGGGGCGCAGGTACCTTTCAGCAGGGGCAGGGGCAGCCCAGTGACAGGCAGGCACGCAGGCAGGTGAGAGCTACAGCCGCAGGAAAGCCTGCGCATTGTGGTTATCTCGAATCTCCCTACATGGGCAGCAGTGGGAAAGGTGACAGCAGCAAACAGCTGTGTGTCTGTTTAGGAACGCAATATGTGCAACTTCAGTGTTGGTACCTGGAAGAGCTCAGCTGATGGCACAGAAATACGGGGAGATATGCAGCAGCTGCAGCTCTGACTGCAGTAGACAGGGCACCTGTTCCTCCTTCTCACTCTTCTGTTTCGCAGAGTGAGTCTTTCAGTCTTTGGTGCCACAGAGGAAGCAGGAGGAGGCTTGTATAAAATAGCCTTTAGCTGTTATATCTTGCCTTGCTTATCCTTTCTATTGCAGCGATATGACCTGCTGTTCTGTTCCTGGGTTGCCTTATCTCTCAGACAAGGCCCTTTCTCACTGATTAGCACAAGGATTCATTCCTCTTCATCCCGCTCTCTTATTTTCAGTACACAGCGTAAGCTACCAACTCCTTCAGAAAAAAAGAGATATGGAATGGAGCAGGATGCCCCACTCTGCTAGTGAGCTGCAGATCCGGTTGCAGAGTAAGCTTGTGCTATGCTTTTCTCAACTGTGCTTTAATTAATGATCGCACTGAGGGTAGTGCCTGCCAAAGTCAGCCAGCTGTCTCGCCAGACACATCTTTCAAAATGCAATGCCAAGGGGGAGACACTCCGGCACCCCGTTTTGGGGTGGCATGTAGGGGAGTGTAGTCCAACTCCCTGCTCATTGGCCGTGGGGCTGGTGTGCTGATCAAGTGTGGTCCCCCTCACCATCCCTCACGTGGCTCCCAAGTCCTGCCTGCAGTAGGTTAAAGATGACGTTGTCTGAAACTTCTGCAAGGTTACGAAAATGTACAAGGGCAGGGGGGAGAAGAGGGAGAAGAGCTTTTGCCTGACTGAAAGTGCTCAGTACCAAAAGTCCTCAGGTGCCCACAAGGGCAGAAGCAAGCCCCTGCATTTTGCCAGCAGGATGCCTGATGGAGAGACTTCAGCATCCCCTGCTCTCTCTTGTTCTTCTCCTGCAATTTGCTAAACTCATATCTCCAACCATGGGAACAGAGCCTTCTCACTCAGGTCCCAGCCTGGCAGTCTGTGCCCCTGCTTGCCAAGGGAAGAAGCGAGTAGGATGAGAGAGCAACGCACAGTGTCACCACTGTGGGAAAATGAATCTGTCATTTTGGTTTTGAGAAATGTATCGGGGAACACAAGCCACTTCTCCGGCCTCTGGGCTCTCCAGCGAGGGAGAGGATACTTGCACACACTCTGCTTTTCCTTTATTTTACTCTGCAAGGCTGACAGATGGTGTGTGGTGCAGCCAAGGCTGGATTCCAAATTGTATCTCCTTTGGTTCCTTGCAACTTACTGAGAACAGATTCCTCCTTGGGCTGACATTTCCATCTCATCCCAAAGGGGATTTGTTTTAATTTTCATTTAAAGTTTCTACCAACTTAGCATTGCTGCTCTGGGATGTTGCAACGGGTAAGTAAAAGCGCCCTCATGGCCCAACACTCCTGCTGTAGCCATCCAACCCAAGTGCTCATGGAGTGAGGAGTGTGCTCCCAAAGGACAGTTCAGCTCGCC